AAAGAAAGAAAGAAAGAAAGAAAGAAAGAAAGAAAGAAAGAAAGAAAGAAAGAAAGAAAGAAAGAAAGAAAGAAAGAAAGAAAGAAAGAGCTAGAAGGAAACCAGAAGAAAGGTAAACACCTCAGATTAGAGATCCTACTTGCAGCCTCCATTAATAAGACAGAGCACCATACCTCTGAATGGCTGTTCATTTCATTCCTATACAGGTCAAGATCTCCCATTTTCAGAGCCATTGATGCTTTAGTCAGTGTCACTAATACTGATGAACACTCAGAAGTATCCAACTTTCTCAGATAGCTCAAGGCAATTGAAGGGTTAATGTTCTTCATGGAAGGAGTACAGAGAATATGGGGCAGTTGTTTCGGCTCAGTCACATGAAACATCCGAACCACTTTTGCTGCTAATTCCTTTGGTAAGAATGAATAAGAAGTAAAAGGTCGGAAAGCAACAAAGTCAGAACAGAAAAAAGATGCAAAGTCGAGATACAAATATCCAAATGAGAAAAATTATGTATTTGTAAAAATTAAGACAAAAATTATATGTTATGATTACATTTTGATTTAAAAAACAACAGTTGATGGTGACACAGGGGACCTAAGGTGGCCTAAAGTGACTCTTCGCTGATTTGTAATGAAGAAAAAAGCAGTGAAAAGTATGTACCAGGTTGTCACTAGCATTTCTAATTCTAACAATGGCTCAGAAGTAGAAAACAAATATTTGATTAAATTCACTCAAAACTTCATTATAAAATTTACAATTTAGTACAAAATATACTTAATGACTTACAAGGAAATTTCATTTCTCTCATTTAGTATCACAATATCCAACTTTGTATATGTGCGTAGAACCCTTTTTAAAAATACATGAGGGCTAAAAAATCCTTAGTAATGCCTTAAGTTCACTGGACCAGGATTTCAAAAGTGAAGTTTTGAAAATTTGAAGAACAGAGCAACTAGGTTAGTGGGAAGGGTATAAGTGAGAGAAGGAAGGCAAGCCTCTTCTGTGTATTTCTTTCAAATGAGCCAGTCACTCAACCATAATGGTCCACATTCTCTGAGCTGTATCATAAGAAAGGATGAGGAGGTTATCTTTTCTAATTCTATGTTATTAATGAAGAAAATGGCCCATTAGTTACTTATTTAGGAAAAGAGTATCATACCAAAGAAAAATATTTGGGATTTGCCTTCTAAATTGTGTTACATGAAGTAAACTGCTAAGATAAAACATTAAACACATAAAATATAATTAAATATAAAACTGTATTTACTTCACTTAATTCTTCATCCAGGTTTTCATAAAGTGAGTGATTAATGTAAAAGATTAATCCCTTCTCGTATTTCTGCAATCCATCCTCTACTGCACAATCCACTCGGGCTAAAACTTCAGCCAGAGACAAGCCAGACATCTTATAGTATGGCAAGGCAAGGTGGGAATATCGAGTCTCAAGCCTAAAGGAAAAGAAGCAAAATATCCTCAATTTGTAATTGTTAAGCCTTATGTCTATCTTACGCATGATAATAAAACAGAGCATGTTTTCCAGAACATATAAATCTCAAAATATTTTATGCTGCCATTAATGGCCATTAATGGATGCTCCTAAGTTTTTGAGGTATAAAGTCATTCTAACAAGAAAGGCTGGTTTCTTTGTGCCTTCTCATATTAACAATAGATAAACAACTCATTAAGTGACTTCTAAAACTCACAATGTAGTTCTCAAATAATGGGACTTATAGGTAGGAAAATTCTATTTCATTAATTTGCAATTATTTCATGGATCAAGTAAGCTTTCAACATAACATTTATCAATAATGTATAAATACCATTATCAAAAATAAAAAGTACTATTCATCCTTAGGTCCTTTCTCTGTTATCATAAAAACACTATCCACTATGATTAAAATCACAGATTGCCAGATGGTAACTCTCCCTTAAACTAACAATAAACTAGTACTATAGCTATCTCAGGATTTTTCACTGGGTATTGAAAATATTTTTTCTCAAAATCTGAAAAGAAACTTCAAATTCCTAAATTAAGTGATGGGAGACACATACACTAAGGTGGACCGTACATCTACAAAAGTAGCTCCTTGAAGACATACTATGTTCATCTTTGTATCTCTAAGAGTAGCAAAGTACCTTACACACAATAATGTTCAACAAATGCTTGTGGAAGAAACAAACTACTTCCTTCATGCATTTCACCATTTATCAGATATTTACCAGAAACTGAAAAGAAACCTAAAGCTCAAGATAGCTTTTTTTTTTTTTTTAAAGATTTATTTATCTGGACTGTACTCTGGGGTACAGTCCAGAGGTGCAGATGCGGTGAGAGGATTCACCAGAGAGAGTGGGGAGCAGAACAGGCAGATCAACAAAGTACAGTGCTGAGAGGAGCAGCTGATGGGTCAGGAGAGTCAGGAGAGGTCTGTCATGCCATGTGGTCACCTCTGGGGCAGGCGGGGATTGAACTCATGCTAAAGTGGCTTTAGCTTCTTAATGCTGTACTTTAACCCACTGTGCCACCAGGATGGGCCCTCAAGATGGCTTTTCTAATAAGAAGCATCACCAACCTGCTATAGCAATCTCCCAAGTGGCCACAGCTTTCTTTAAATGCTTCCAAAAGCTCTGCTTTTTCTTCAGGTTCCAACTGACTGGCATCCATTAAGGCAGCTCTCACCAACAAATGAGCCTCACTAAGGAGGTGGATGCAGCTCTGTGTTTTAACAGTCTTATAGGTATTACTGTAGTCGATCTACAATAAGAAAGACAAAGAGCTGAAGATGCTATGGAAAGATTCCCCCAGAAGTTTCCCAGTTATTAAATATCTCTGTATTTTGCCAGTAAAGCTAGTATTTAGACACACTAGTCCTAAAAACCAAATTAAAAGGTGGTTAATTATCAGATAGGATCTAGCTCAAGTGTTTCTTTCTTCCACAGTTTAACAATACAGTATTATAAACACTCCTTTGTTAATGTTAATCATGACAGGAGGTAAAAATAATACTGTAATAATAAGAATACTGCTAATAATTTTATCAGAATATAAAGCTAATAAATATCTGAAATAGGTTTTTTTTTTTTAAGCTCTGTCATTTAAATCTTTCTCAAATGCAGACTGAATATCCTTCCCTTTACTTTCAATCTGTAAATTTAGGAACTAACACATCCATCTGAAAGTCACAATGGGCTTATAAAAATAATCAGTTGCAAATCTAAGTCAATCAATATTTCAGACTACAATAGGTAAAACATCAAGATGCAATTCAAGGCTTTCAACTAAACATGATTGAAAAGAGAGCAAAGCTGATATTAATGATCAGCACCAGACTGTCAGGGAGAAATCAGGAAAAACCTTGACCTGATAATCATAATTAACAACACACCAATGACAGGCAAATAGACATCATGTACCTTTCAATAATGATACACTGAAAAGAAACCTCACCTATGCAATTTTCTAGAAAATATTTTCAAGAAAGATATGTAACCTGAATATAATTATGAAAATAAACCCAAGAAAATTCAAAATGAGAAACCCTCTCAATAAAAAAGTAGAGGGGAAAAATATTTTTTAAAGATGTCTGCACCAATAAAGTAAAGAAAGGCTGTAGATATAATCCAGATTAAAGAAAGCTAAAGATACATGGTAATTATCTACACTAATTTATGCTGGACAGAATACTGGAATGGGGGGCTGGAAGATATAATCATTAGACCATTATTGTGCCAACTGACAAAATTAAAATATGAATTGTACATCAAATGCTAGATATTAAATTTACTACTGCATATGGTTATCTTATATAAAGATTATGTAAATAAATTACACTACTCTTAGGAAACAGACACTGAAGAAGCATTTAGGGGCAAAGGCTATAATCATACAATTTACCTTCCAACGAATCAGAAAAAAATGTATGTGTTTTCTTTGTTTTTTGCTTAGGAGAACTGGGGTACAGGCCAGAGTTGTACAGGGATAAGAGGAATCACCAAGGACAGAGTGGGGAGCAAAGCAGGCTGATGTTCTGAAAAACACTGCTAAGCGGAGCAGGAGTGAGACAGGAGAGATCTGCTGTGCTATGTGGGTCAGCTCAGGCCATACCAGTGATAGCACTGAGATTTAACACCTAGACCACCAGAGAAGCCCTGTGTGTGTTTTTAGATAGTGCAAAAGTGCAACAAAAATTAAACAAAGATGTGTAAAAGAGGTAAAATATTGATTACAAGTGAATCTGTATGGGGAATATTGATTCTTGCAATTTTTATGTCTGACATAATTTCAAAATAGTTTAAAAAAAAAACTGTCAGGGATGAGTAGGCAGCTGTTACTACTCGAAAGGAGCAAGGATGCACACTATAGTGACCTGGGACAATCTACTATTTCAAAAAAGTGAGATAGAATAAATGCTCTGAAATTTCTCCCAATTCCACTTCTTGGTTCTTTAGGCTGGGGGGAAAAGCTATTTACATACAGACTGGTCAATCAGTTCTCATATGAGAGGGGAGCATAGATAAGGAAATCTTTTACTAAAAACTTCTACTAGTAACACAAATGTCCGGAACTGTAAAAACAGAAAGTGTAAAGATAATTCACTGTGAACAACTGGAATCTGGTTTGCTATGACAACTTGAATGTATGATAATTTGTGGTCATCAACACCATGCTAAATTCTACAAGTAATAAATCAGAAATCTGGAAGGAGTACCATTTCCTTGTATAGTTGCACTGGTGAGATTGTATTCACAATATATAAATTCCAAGCAGCCTCAGCTACAGGAGATGTTCTGAGCTTAGCACTGGTATCTTTCCTAGAACTAAAAGCAAAACAAAGGACAAAAATTGTAAAATAAGATATATTTAAAAATGGCAATTTTAAATGGTAAATACTGGACATATAAAACAACTATGCAATTTTCACTATTTTCTTCAATTTTATAGAACACTAGTTCACAATTCTATACAGACCCACAATACTTAAAATTCTACAGTTCTCATTGACTTGTCTTCCAAATTATTCCACAAGTATTCTAAGTGGCAATAAGGACAAAAAACCAGGTAAGACCCCTTGAAAAGCAAGAAAGACTTGGCTGCGGAAAGTCCCTGTGCCCAGGTCCTCTCTAGTGTGGTCTTTTCAGCAGAAGTAACAGGCCAAACACTCATGGCTGCTGGTAAAATACAGAAGATGCCAAATAACTGAGAATTTGCTTAAAACACTATCTTACCTCTTGTTTTGACTATGTGATACATTTTCTTTAGTAAATGATCTTTTTTTAATATAAACCTTTGACCAAACAAATTTTCAAATAAAACAGAACTTTATGGCATTTTAGAAAATAAAATGCTTTTAGAACATCAAATGTGTAAAATCACAAATTGTTTTTCTTCTTTTCAGAAAGCTTTTAGGATGAGGCTCAAACTTAATGCCCATACTAAGTAACCAGCTGCCCAAGTCAATTTTGAATTATTCCTATTGCTGGAAGAAACCACAGACATAAACACTTCTCAAGTAAAAAATTCATTAAAAAATATTATTATAAAAAATATATATATTTCACTTTAATATACTTTACACTTATCTTCCCCAAAAGATTTCTTTCCTGATTAAATCTTCCATAAAAAAAAAATGATGAGCTATTATTGCATTTAAAGATAATGAATAGTTCGTCTGAAGTTAAGCATTCTATTCTAAACAAAGTGAAAGCAGAAAAGCCAGGAGTAAACCAGAATCTACGGTTATCAAAATGCAATTTAAGAGAAGAAATCCCTCACTTCACTCTCCAGCAGATCACCTAAATTAACCAGTTGAATAGTACACCAGAAAGTCTGCTGGCATGAGGCAAACTGGAACACCTCCTGATATCAGAGAATAGGCAGACAGACTGTGCCAGAAAGGACATGGAGAAAATTCAAGCTTTAGTGCATGAGAAGTGAATAGAGAGACATTCCTGGAAACTGTACTTGGGGCATGACATTGTCTTAAAACCACAATACCACCAAGATGGAAAAGGCACAAAATGAAGAATGATGTAAAAATAAAGTAAAACATAACAATAAAAAAAATAAGAATATTAAAAATAACAACACTGCCACTAGGCTATTTAGCCACAGGAAAGTGGAAGCTGAATTATGTGGGGGCACAAACTTAGGGGAAATGCATACACAGGATTCAGGATATACCCAGAGTGCCTGATCCTTGTGGAATGAACCATGACACTGAGCTACACTCCCCCTTCCCAACTCTCATAATGGTACTGACAGTGTAAGAATCACTGCAAATGCAGAGGGAACAGGATTTTGGATTTGGAGCACCAGACAAGACGTGGTACCAGCAGAGCCAAAAACACAAGCATGTACTTCTCCACAGCATTCACAACAGAACCCCAATGCTTCTAAGCTTCAATCTACCCCAACTCAACAGCTAGATGATCAGCTCTCAGATCTACAGAAACCTGAGAAGAACAAACTCATAAACATCACAGCACCACCTACTAGAAAAGTAGTTCAATTCAAAATCACAAACAGCAAAATGGGCAGAAAGAAAAGAACACAGGACAACTTGAGAACTCACAGGAATACGACACTACAAGGAGAGGCAACAATATAGAATCCAACCATATAATCATGGCAGATTTTATCTTCCTATCAGATAAAGAATTTAAAATTGTCCTGATAGGGCCTTCCCTGTTGGCGTCAAGGGGTTAAAGCACAGCACGATGAAGCTATCCACAGCTACTTCCATGTGAGTTCAATCTCCAGCCAGGAAGGTGAACCACACGGTGTGGCAGGACTCTACCTGTCCTGCCCCCTGCTCCCCTCAGTAGTATCTTTCATTGAAACCCACCTGCCTGTTCCCCACTCTGTTTCTGGTGAACATCTCACCCTTTACACCTCTGACAGAAACTCAAAGAAGTACATAAAAGCAAGTCAAAAGATTCAAGAAAATATAGAAAAACTAATCCAAAGATACAGAAAATTCAGAGAAACTAATGAATGCCATGAGAAGTACAATTACTGAACAGAAAATAGAAGATAACAGATTGGATTAGAATTAAAATAGATCAGAATTTAAAACATTTTAAAGAAAGATTAGAATAGAAATGAAGATTTAAATGGCAAAATAAGGTAGTTGCAGGGTATAAAAAGACTAAAAGAAGAGATAAAAAAAACTTCTGCAGAGTACTATCAAAGTCACTAAACAAATGAAGCACCAAATCAGTGACACTGAAGATAATAATGCAGAAAGGATATAGATGATAGAAGAAAGAAAAGGATGGGGCTCTCCCTGGTGGCGCAGCGGGTTAAAGCACAGCCCTAAGAAACTTGAGCCACTTCCGCACGAGTGCGATCCCCGCCTGCCCCAAAGGTGATCCACATGGCGTGGCAGACCTCTCCTGACCCGTCTGCTGCTCCCCTCAGCAGTGTACTCTGCCTCTGGTGAATCCTCTCACCCTTGCATCTCTGGCCTGTACCCCAGTTCTGTCCAAATAAATAAATAAATCTTTAAAAAAGCGAGAAAAAGATGAAAAAAAAATTTGTTTAACTTCAATAACTATCTAATTCCTTTAGGAAAAGCAACATACCGCTTTCTTTCCAATAAAGAAAGAGGGAACAGAGAACTTATTCAAAGAATACAGAAAAACTTCCAAGCCTGCAGGAAGAACTAAATATAAAAGTCCATTAAGCTAAAAGAATATCTAGTTATCTAAATGCAATTACCTACTGAGACACACAGTTGTGAGACTACCAACAGTTCCAAACAAAGAAAGAATAGGAAAGGTGGCAAGGGGGAAGTGTCAGGTTACCTAAAAAGGTACTCCCAAAAAGCTTACATCACACCTCTCTGAGGAAACCTTATGGGGAATGAAAGAATGGAATGAACATCAAAAGATATTACGTCAACCATTTTCCAAACTAAAAACACACTGGCAACAACTCAATAGTTGGAAGGAGACTTCAACACTCCACTTTCACCAATGGACATATCAACCACACAGATACATGAAATTAGATATGTGTCAAAAGAATGAAACTATATCACTACTTCATAATGTATAAAAAAAAATTAACTCAAATGTATTGATATCTTGGAAGTAAGACCTGAAACTGTAAAATACATATAAAGAAAACGTAAGAAAAACACTGCATGACATTGGTTTCAGTAATGTCTTTGGGAAATTTGTACCCTATGGTAAGAGAAACAAAAATAATATAAACAAGTAAGATTACATCAAATTAAAAGACTTCTATATAGTTAAAAAAAACTATTATTTATTGAGTTGGAAAACGTAATCTGCAACTATACATCTGAAAAGGGGTTGATATTCAAGATCTACAAAGAACTCATATTTCAAAATATAGGGAAAAAAGAACACAAAACAAAAAATGCAGTCTAAAAGTTGGCAGAAGTGCTACTCCACCAAAGTAGACATACAGATGGCTAAAAGGCACCTTAAAAAAATGTCAAACACCACTTATTATTAGGGAAGTGGATATTAAAACCACAATGAAACACCACATCACTCCCTTCAGAACAGCCCCTACCAAAAAGACCAGAAAAAATTAAGTGCTGGTGAGGATGTGGACAAAAAAGGAACCCCGTGTATTTTTGGTAGAAACCTAAATTGGTCTAACCCTCACAGAAAACTGCATGGAGCATTCCATAATATTAAAATTACATCTACTGCAAGACGTAGCATTTCTGCCCATATGTATTTCCCAAAAGAATGCATAAACACTAATTCAAAGGAATATATGTATCCCGATGTTTATCATAGCATTATTTACAACAGACAAGTTATGGAAGCAACCTAGGTACTCAAGGACAGATGAGTGTATTAGAAAGATGTGGTATACATATATAATAGAATAATACTCAGCTACAAAAAGAACATTTATTACAACATGGATAAAATTAGAGGAGATAATGCTAAGCAAAATATTCAGGAAGACAAAGACAAAATACTAGATGGTTTCACTTCTAGGTGGAAAACAGAGAAAAAGGGTCAGACAGACCCAAACCAGTAATAAATCCTAGAAGTCTGACTGTAGCAGAAGGGAGGGTGGAGAAAATGATGTAGAATGGACCCAGTTAACTATGGTTGGGGGACAGTGGGTGCCTTTGTGGTAGATATGAACCTGAACCTCTGAATCACATCATTAAGAATAAGTGATCTTGGCCCTCCCTAGTGGCACAGAGGATTAAAGCACAGCAATGAAAATCTAAAGCCACTTCCACATGAGTTCGATTCCCGCCTGCCCCAAAGGTGACCACATAGTGTGGCAGACCTCTCCTGACCCGCCCACTGCTCCCCTCAGCAGTGTACTTCTTCGATCTGCCTGTTGTGTTCCCCGCTCTATCTCTGGTAAAGCCTCTCACCGCCCCTGAGCCTCTGGGCCTGTACCCCAGTTCTGTATGCACAAATAAATAAATAAATAAATAAATAAATAAATAAGAATAAGTGATCTTATAATCTTTAACTACACAAACTGATTTCACACACACACAAAAGCAATTTTATTCTAGAGTAAATTGCATGTATCTACCTTATGTATGAGCTTTAAGGTAAGAACCACATTATTGACTTTTTATTTCTTTTGAAATTATTGTAGTAATCATTTCATTGCAGTTACAAATATGTAGGTGAAGTCTATATGCTATACCTTAAAGTTCTACAATGCTTTCTGTCAATTAAATCTTGATAAAAGTGAAAAAAATAAATAAATTTTAAAAAGTTACTCCTGCATGCAATAACAAAAACATTTCTTTGACATAAATACCAGGAAATAAATCTTTGAGTAAAAATGTAATGACTTAAAGGTGAAAGGGGGGGAAAAAACAATGAAGCTGGTAGTTTAGATTAGCATTAGAGGTTCTATTCTGTTTCCTATTACTTACAAAGGACAGAAAAGTATGTTCTTCAACTCTATCTAAAATACCGCAGATACTTATGAAAACAATTTATATTATTTTTATTTTATGGAAACCATATTCTCCCAAAATTTACAAAGTCAATTATAAAGGATAATAGAGATTATTAGTACCTTCTTTTCTTTCCTCTGCACAAAGAACATGACATAAAACTCACATAATCCAATTCAACATTTTGATTTAAAAAATGATAAACTAAGACAACATAAAATATACCAGTTAACAACAGATTCCAATGACTTTGGCAGAAGTATTTGGGGATAAGGGGATACTTACAGAAGCCTCTTGGGTGATTCTCTTCTCTCTGGAGTAGGTTCAGAGTCTGCCTTGGTCAAAAGTATTACATGGTTTTTAAAGTGACAAATGGCTTTCAAACCAATGAAGAGCTGTATTCTCAAAGCACAGACATCCATACTGACAGGTGGACAAGCCTAGTAAGGAAAAAAAAATTACAAATTTAACTGAGAAATAGAAGTATGTGAAATTCAATCTTCAAAAAAAAAATTGATAAAATTTCTTCTATCTTTACCCAAAGAAAAATAATTCAAATTCCAATTCTTTTCAGAATTAGAGGTTATCCTTTGTAAATATATGCAACCAACTATTTCATTTTTGATAGTGAATGAAGACAGCAGTGTACTTGAGCTGCTCACTGCTATAGGAACTTCTGGAAGAGTAGTTATGGTCTGGTATCTGCCACCCAGGGAAGCTCTCTCTCCTCAGAGTAGGCTGGCTCAGGGGTATGCCAAATGGGCTTCTAGGCTAACCAAGTCAGCAAGAAAGGCCATTCTACTGCACAGAGAGTACATGAAATGGTTTCCTAATGAATGGTATATAGTAGAAAAAAGCTTGCACATTCTGAAGGCCCTTAACTGTTAACTCTTTTGGTGTGACAATTGTATGGGATGGCTGACAGGCTAGGTGGTATCACAAAAATCCAAGGAAACCCAGGGCCAGCCATCAGACAATTGTCCCCATAAGGGACCACTAATTCAAACAGAATGGAGAAGAAAGCAATGAAAGAGTTCTGAGAGCTCAAGAAATGAAGCTGACAGGTTCCTGCCTTTTCTTCCCTTAATGGGCTTTAGATTCTGAAGTCATCTTCCTGCCCCTTTCCCTTTATAAAAAGCACTTGGGGATATACCTCTGTCGGCTTTTCTTACTCCTAAGAATAGCTAAGCTTACCTTGACTACTGCTAATGAGCAAGATCTTAGGATTCTCAGAGGAAAGGAAAATGAAGACCCCATACATTCTCAACCAGACTCTAAGGTGGTGAAATTCTCAGCCAGCACAGCTCCAAAGCCTGATTTAGCACAGAGGCCACACAACTGTGTACTTGTTAATGAAGCAACTTGGACTTCAAAATGGAGAAGCTTGAGGGAAGGCATCAGCTGTCACCTCCATTAACACTGGCTTAAAAGCAGCACCCATGTCAGCTGTCACTCTCTCTCTCTTCTTTTTCCCCCATCCTTTCTTCCATTTTTCTTCCTATTAGTTTTATGAGACCCCAAGATGACCTAAAATGATGATTTTTTTCAAATGAAGTTTGATACAACAATGGTCTATTCTGTACCGCCTCACTCCACCATCACCATCCATCACCAAGCCTGTTTAAGTCATATGCATTAAAAAAAAAAAAAAAGGTAAAGCTAGGAGGAGCAAGAATAAAGAATAGCTTTCCAATTCATTAGAGAAATAGACTAAATAATTTCTTGAAAAGGTAATGTGTCTCAGAAAAGCTGTGATTCTTGTTTCCGGAGAGGCTGAGGTAGGCAGGAAGCCTGATCAGCAACCTAAAGCTCCAGGCAGGCTGTAACAGAAAGGAGCTACTGAGAACTCAGGTACAATTTCCATAAAACGCTACCACACATCACACCAGCAGCAGCAGCAGTCATAGTGGCTGCAGACACATTAAACATCACGTAGGAGCGATTTTATTAACATAACCATCATTATTGAACATGTATTTTTCCAGGAAAAGGCCTTCTAGGTGCTAGATTGATAAAACTAACTTGTAAAATACAGGTCATCATCATTTGAGGGTTTCCTATAGCATGGTGTTTATTCATAATAAACATTAATCAAGTAGTTTAAGTTTCAGAAATGAAATAGCATATTTGAGAAATATTATGCAAATGATGTATTTCTGGAGCAGAAATTCAAGGTCAGAAACATAAAATTTCATGATAAAATTGCCAACATTTACTTGGTGGTCAAGAGCTTTTTAGACACTAAACATATTGCTTCTCACACCAAAAAATGAGACTTTTGATCAAGCAAACTGTTAACTCTTAGATTAAGACTGTGCAAATACTAAAGGTTATTGAAGTCTTGTAAAATCACAAAAAAATTATTAGCGTATCCGATAGCAGAAATAAATCATTTTAATGTACTCTATACAGTTTCATACTTGTGAATATACTAATTTCTATATATGTAACAGCTCTATACCATAGCCACAAACTATGTTATTTTGCTAACAGAAAATAGAATTATAATATACTTCAGTTTTAAGTACCCTTGCTAAAGTTACAATATTTATATTCTTTAGCAAGCCATAAAAAGTATGCATTAACCAATTCTGAGTGAAATGTTTTCAAAGTAATCTTAAAATCTGTCATCTAAACCATGGATCACAAAATGCTTAGTATTTTACATGCAAAAGTTCTAGTTCAACAAACAAAACCATAAGACCTTTAATATTAACCAGTTTAGATCCAATCCCAAATTTGCAAACATTCATACGTTCCTCTTGGATCCTAAGATTTCATGTCATCATTGGCCAGCTCTCACCTTCAATGTGGTGTCCTCATATAGGTCCTCCTCACGAGCTGCCGCCGCACTACATCGCACTGTGAAGCACTGCAGGTTGTTACTAAGGAAGAGAAGAAAGGTCACTGAGCAAAGCAGAGAGCTACAATTAATCTGCCCCTAGTGGGAGGATTTTATAGGAAAACAGCAATGGCAGGAATGGGTATTTAAGTATTTGTCAAATGGTAACAGGTTAGACTCTAACAACAAGCATGCCTCAGAACCCTTATGGAGTAACTTTAAAATATTTACCTTGTCCCCGCTAAACCCACTGATTCATAATCTTTGAGGGCTGAATCTAGACGTGTATATTCTACAATAAAGTCCATGTATGACTCTGATATACACCCTAACTCAGAAGTACAGTTCTGGGCCATGCTTCTATAAACTCACACCCCCAAGATGGTCCCAGAGACAAGCAACTTTGAAAGCCAAGATTGGAACCCATGTTTTTTGACTATTTACCTCTATCTCACTCATTTCAGGATGAAACTCAGCCGGGATTATGCCGCGTACACATGGAGATTACGCAAATACAATTTTAATAGTAATGAAATTCAGAGATTACTGGAAAAACTCTTCAGAAAGCCCTACTCCTGAAGCTGGTTTTGAAGAGTAGGGCATGGAAGATTCATGAATGGTCCATGTTTCTGAAGAATAGAGCCCTATTAGAATCTCAGACTCCTCTAGCTCTTTCCACAACCCTAGGTTTACTAGAAAAATGACCTGGGGAACCCACAGTAAGTACAAAAAAAAAAGAAAAACAAAGAAAAAACACTTCCTAAGATTAGTGAAACTAAGAGCTGGTTCTGTGGGGAAAAAAAAATGAGCAAAACTGACAAATCCTTAAGCTAGGCTCACTAAAAAAATAAACAAAACCGAATAAATTGAATAAGAAATGAAAGAGGTGAAATTATAATAGAAACAGATATTGCAGAAATACAAAGAACCTACTATGAACATCTCCATGGAAACAAAATAGACAATCTAAAAGAAATGGACAAATTTTTAGGTTCACACAAACTTCCAAGACTGAAGCAGGACAAAACAGCTTACGCAGTTCAATTGCTACTGCAGATATTGAAAGACTAATAAAATGCCTCCTAAGAACAAAAGTCCAGCACCAGATGATTTCTCCAGTGAAAGCAGTCACTGCTTCAATGAGAGCCTAATACTTATCCTACTTAAACTCTTCCAAAAAATTCAAAGAGAGGGGCCTCCCTGGTGGTGTCGGGGTTAAAGACTCAGCCCTATCAAGCTTCCACCAGTCACTGTGTCATAACTTCAATTCCCAGCCAAAAAGCTGACCCACATGACAAGGCAGACATCTCCACTCTCACCCACTGCCCTTCTCAGCAGTATGTTTCAGTAGATCCACCTATTCTGCTCCCCACAATGTCTCTGATGAGTCCTCTCACCACCCCCACACCTCTGACCTAGACCCTAATTCTTGTATGCATAAATAAAAATTTAAAAATCTTTAAAAAAGAGACTGGTAAAGTCCTCAACACATTCATTTTACCCTGAGCCCAAAATAAAATAAGGACAACAAAAAATAGGCCAATATCTCTAATGAACAAAGACGTAAAAGTCCTCCACAAAATCCTAGTAAAACATATACAGCACCATATTAAGATGATCATACACCAAGATCAAGCAAAATTCATCCTGAGGAATGTAAGGCTGGTTAAACATACACAAATCAGTGTCACTCAGCAGATCAATAAAAGGAAGATGAAAAATCACATGATCATTCAACTGATGCTGAAAAAGCACTCAAAACAAGAATCAACTCCATGATATTAAAAAAAAATTCAGTAAAATAAAACTTACCTAAACATAATAAAAGCTGTATACTATAAATCCATAGCTAGTATACTCAGTGGGGAAATACGGAAATCATTTCAACTAAGATCAATCAGGAATAAAACAGGGATATCCACTATCACTGTTTAACATAGTATTTTAAGTCCTAGTCAGAGCAATCAGACAAGAAAAAGACATTAATGGAACCTACATTAGAAAAGAAACAGAAACTTGCTACTCACAGATGACATGATAATACAGAACCCAAAAACTACCAGAATAAAATGAATATTGTAAAGGATAGTATACAATCAATACACAAAAATCTACATGCAAACAGTGAATTAGAGAGAGGTCTGTAAAAAAAAAAAAATCCACTTATAATTACACCAAAAAGAATGAAATGCATTGAGTGAATTTAAGAGGATGAGAAGGACCGATACATTGAAAACTCTAAGACTGTTAATAGAAATAAAATAAATAGATATTCCGTGCTCATGGATTGGAAAAAATAAACACTGTTATAAAGGTCATATTACCTAACACGATTAACAGATTCAACACAATACCTATCAAAAACTCATTAAGCACCTAAAACTCAAATGATTAAACCAAACTTCTCTATCACCCTACACTACACCAGCCTCCATTCTCTCACAAAAGTAGGCTCAAAACTCTAATGGGTTTTTCTTATCTCCTCCATCCCATTATTCTATCAAAAGGCAAGTCTTATAATTCTCTAAGCAAAGCCTCTTCTTTCTAATCTTCCTTCTCCTCTCACTGCCCTGCCTGAATACAGCCCAGCATTACCCTTACCTGTAGGTTCAGTCCATCTTCCACAGTGAAGACCATTAATTTTCCTAAAGCAAAGCTCTAATCATGTCCCTTTCACTGTCAAAATCTTTAAAAATTCCTTAGTTTACGTTTCTAAGGCCTAAGCTACCTCTGGGCATTATTTGTACCACTTGTTTATGTTTCAGCTCCCTCATATTTAAAGAATATAACTACACAACACTTAGAAATTGAGAAGACTAGTTTCAGCTACTCTGTTCACGTAAGAAAGATTCTAACTTTTCCACTCAAAACAGAAGTGGGAATCACAATCTCCAGGTGTCTCCTATGCTGAATGAAATACACATCAGCACATGCTGGAAGTCTGATATTGCCACTCAACTGAAGGAAAAAATAAAAACTTTTATACAATGAATTTCTAGATGCTTCTACAAAATTGGACGTGGCATTTCTTTACAGTTATCCCTTATATCTATAATACCCTTTCTCCCAATCTCCAACTGTCAAATTCTAACTTTCAGGCCTCACTTTAAACACAAAAATCACTGAGACAAGACTCAGTCAGAAATACTTCTCCTCTTCCAGAGACATTCTTCACAAATCTCCTAGCATTTGTGTCCTTTGTATATTTCTCCTATTCTGTTTTTATTTTGGAAAGTAATTTGTAAGCTCAAGAAGACTTAAAAGGGACCTTAAGAGTTTACAGAAAAATAAATAACTCAGGGGCCACTAGGGATACTGCTACATACCTTGTAATAACATGCAAAAACTGTGGCGTGAGCACTGCCTGCTGAGATTTCTCAGGATACTGGTAGACCGACATTAATTCAACTGACTTGACAACCATGTAGAGATAGCCCACATGAGGTAATGAGAAGAAACAAAAAAGACTCAGCAATTTTTTTTCTTGAGATGAATGTTCAGACATAAAAGAACCTATGTAGAAAAGAAAATACCACAAAACCTGTAAATAAAGCAAGCAATATCTTGACTATTTGATATAAAATTCTGCATGAATAATCAAAGGAGGCAATGGTTCTTGATAGAAGAGTGACAATAAAAGATGAAAAAAGAACACAGTATTATAAACCAGTGTTACTTCAGTTAAAAAAAGGAATACAATTAGAATATCATTTTGCAACTACTAATAAACAAACAGGCTAGGTAATAATCACCAATGTCTACTAGCATCAAAAAAGAATTAACCAGATAATACCAACCTCTCAAGAGAACTCAATGCTATTTGTGATTAACAAAATACAAACATCAGCACTATCAAGAAAAATAAAATGTGAGCTACATTATGTAATTTAGGGTTTTCTATTAGTCACTTTAAAAACAAGAAAAACAGGACCCTCCCTGGTAGTACAGCAGGTTAAAGCACAGCACTAAGAAGCTAAAGCCACTTTAGCATGATCACACCCCGGATGTGATCCACATGGCAGGGCAGATCTCTCCTGACCCGCCCACTGCTCCCCTCAGCAGTGTACTTCCTTAGTCGACAGCCAGCCGGTTATGCTCCCCACTCTGTCTCTGGTGAATCCTCTCACCTCTCCTGCACCTCTGGCCTGTACCATAGTTCTATATGCATAAATAAATAAATCTTTAAAAAAAAGAAAAACATAAAATTTAATAACACATTGTATTAATTAATCCAAGTATAAAGACTGTAATTTCAATAAGCAATCAAAAGAATTTAAAGTTACTTTGTATTTGTTTTTGCTGTACTAAGTGTTCCATACTACTGTTTGTTTTACATTTAGAGCACATCTCAATTCAGATTTACCACAGTTCAACTGCTACATGGGACTGCTGGCTAGCATGCAGAACGGAGCAATTTTTAGTCTAATTTCCAAATCACAGGCTAATACAGAAGATACAGTAACATGATAAATGACACCGGGGTTATTCAATCAGTATAAACTAGTACAGTTCCCTGCTAACTACACCATAACTAAAAGAAAAACAGGCAGAACAATATATTAAAAAAGACTTACGGCCATAGCAATCAATCACAATGTGTAAACCTTATTTGGAATATTAAGAAAAAAATTTAGACAATCAGGGAAATTAACATGGCATTTGGGATATATATGTTTTATTAATGTGAAATGACATTTGAGGTTCATTTTAAAAATCCTTTTCTCTTAAAAACATACTGAGATACTTATGGATGAAATGGTATAAACTTTGCATCAAAACAATCTGACATGAGTCAGAGTGTAACCAGAGGCAACTCTGTTGAAGCTGTATGATGAATATATTAGGTTCACTGTACTACTTTCTCTAAATCAATGTGCTTGGAATTTCTCACAGTCAAAAATTTTTAAAACAACACCATTAACTGATACCCTTTATAGACACCCATTAATGACAAAAGAAAGTGCAACCCTGAACAACTGGCCCAAAGCAATCTGTTCAGTATTTTCTTACTCTTTTTTTTAAGATTTTATTTATTTATGCTTACAGAACTGGGGCACAGGCCCGAGGTATAGTGGGTGAGAGGACTCACCAGAGACAGAGTGAGAGTCAGACCGATGAAGTACACTACTGAAGGGAGCACTGAGTGGGTTAGGAGAGGTCTGCCACGTCATGTGGGTCAGCTCCTGAAGGGGCATTGAACTTGTCCTGCAGTGGCTTCACAGAGCTTCATAATGTGGTGCTTTAACTGGTTGTGCCACCAGGAAGAGCCCTTTTTCTTACTCTTATTCCCTACACATTTGTGCTCTAGTTCAAGAGAATGCTGGCTACTTTCCAAACACACGTGAAGATTGTACACCTTGCACATGTTGATTCCCCTTATTTAATATCTTACCAATTTCGCTTAAAAATTTGACTCATCCTTTAAGACACAGGTCAAATATGAACTATCCATTCATTTTTTTCTATTAAATAATTATCCTTCCAATATCTATATACCAATGTTCTAGGTTCTAAGAATACAAGAGTGCCAGGACAAAGTAACTGCATTCATTCTAGTGATGCAGATTTGTGGGGGAAAGGAAAATAAATAGGTAAATTTTGAAAGATACGGAAAGGGATTAGTTTAAGAGGTCAGGAAAGTCCTATAGTGGAGTGACATTTGAGCTTTGAGTTGAATGGACTCAAAGATATCACTCATTCATGATCCAAGAAAAGTAGACTTTAAACACAGGGAGAGCAAACAACAGGTCTTGACAAGAATTCACTTGGCATCTCTCAAAAACAAGGACACAAGGACGAGTTCAGAATTAGGGGCATCTAGGCCCTGCAAAGGAGTTAGGGTCTTATTCCAAGTTCTCAAATAATGAAGTGACCCTGTAACAAGACCATGCATCCTGTCTGTTCTTCAGTCTCAACTCATAGATCTGCTTTGTTTGACTCTCCCTTTTTAAATCTTTCAGGGAGAGAAAAAAAAAATAAAATGAAGGTTATAAAGACATTTCATTAGAATATTTCAATCTTTCTCTATGCCAGGAGCAAGTACAGAGCCCAATGGTGAGTCTTAATCTTACTATCCATTAAATTCTTAAGAATACTGCTGTCCAGGACCTAGTTGATCCATTAAGTCAGAATCGCCAATATGTAGAGCCTGGGCGTAAGTATTTTGAAAAGTACCTACACAAGTTCAGTGTGCAGCAAGGTTAAAAACCACTGCTCTAAATGAATTCCATTTGGTCTACATTTTCCCAGCTTGCTCACATTATAAGAAGCTTTGCCAAATACCCAGCTGAAATCCAGAAAAACCTCAGGTATTACAGGGATCTGATTCCCCCCCACCCCTTTTTTTTTTTTAAAGATTTATTTATGCATCCAGAACTGGGGTACAGGCCTGTGATGCAGGGACCATGAGAGGATTCACCAGAGACAGAGCAGGGAGCGGAACAGGCCGACTAACAAAGTACACTGCTGAGGGGAGCAGCAGCCGGCCAGCTGCAGCGCCAAGTGGGATCACCTCTGGGGCAGGCGGGGATCGAACTCATTCTGAAGTAGCTTTAGCTTCTTAGTGTTGTGCTTTAACCCGCTGCGCCACCAGGTAAGGGCCCCAATTTCCCTTTTTAGGCCAAGCATCCACTTCTAAAAGGGAAACGACTTCTGTCTGCAACATCATCACAATGGCTTCTTCTAGCATGCAGGACTTCCCTTTGTAGGTAGTTGCTAAGGAACTTGTTCCAGGTCACAGGGTGATTCAGTAGAAGAACCATTCCAATTACCCACATTGTTCTCCCTTCCTAATCCAGAGCCTTTCTCACCTCACAGCACTGCAGTACTGTCATACTTACCTGTTTGGTAAATGGGTAGCAGCTGAAGTGAATGCAACTTGGCATCATCAGGCAAAACATATGATGAAATATCAGGAGCAAAACGTCTGTAGGTTTAAAAAGAAAGGCGATAAAAAGGGAGAGTTCTAATTTCCAAGTTCTTTAAACAGATATATATATATATATATATATATATATATATATATATATATTAAATACTAGAGAACAAAAAGCTTTCTAATACCTATAGAGCAGATGCTGAACATGAGTATATTTCATGTTTTCATCAGCTAATCCTATTGCCTCCAGTGTAACAGATATGCCACACTGTTCACTTTTTTCACCAAGAAGTTCCATGGGTTTTTGGCAGATTACAAAGTCATCGGATTCAAGTTGCAAAGTTTCATTACTGGTGCCTTAAAAAGTAAGATTTAAGAAAAGTTTAATAATTCCAAATACTACTTGAATGAAAATTGTATTTCAAAGCATTTCCCCCACCAATTAGAAATAAACTTGATTTAAATACACACAAGACCCTATGGTTTGAAAAGTCATAACCTTGCCCATTTATTCCTCACAACTGATAAAGTACATCAGGTTACTATAATTAACACCTTACACATGAGGCAGTTGAAAATCAAATATATATATGAACTGGAACTAGAAACTCAAGTAGCATTACTTTTATTGATAAATAGATGCTAAAAGTACCCATTTAATCCCATGTGTAATTAATCCCATAAATTGGAATGACAAATTATGTGCCTTCAAAAATTGCCAGAAGTAAGGATATTCTCTACACCTAAAAATAAGAAACCTAAATTCACAATTTACCTTCTGTCTTTTTCACTAAATTGTTGGTTTTATGTGGATGGTGGATAACTTTCTCTCCATCTTTGGGATCCGATTCCAGCTTTAGGATTAAGACTTCTAAGTCTGACATGACAGCAACATATCCAACACAAAAAGATATTTCAAAAGGGGTGATATTATCTATGTGTATAATTAAAGAGCGTTCAAAGTCCAATATTGAGAATTCTTCACTAATGATCTGATACTTCAAAGTAAATAAGACTAGCTTATTTGTGCAGCCAACAAGAAGGTCTCCTTTCACAGGGCAGCAAGAAATGCTCAAGGGGTTCTCAGAGAGTGGCATTTCAAGAATAGACATCTGGTCCCTGAAGCTTTCACTGAAGGGTACCTCCACATTATGTCCAACCATTCGGATACACACTCGAGAGTTTTCAGTTTTTTTACTTCTCCAGTTCACATAAGCACGCAGAAACTTCGCTTTGTTTTTTTCTTCAATTGCTACTAAATAGTCTCCTGAAAAGAAAATTATACTTAGAATATTGTACTTGGAAACAACCACTTACCTGTGCTATGACATGATTAGTGAATTGTAATATGAATGACTGAATTAAAGATTTGTAAGAGGGTGTTCCCCAGGAAAAGGGGAGGTTCCAGGTTCCCTGCCCCACCCAAGGGAGAGTGGAGTTAACAGGAAGAAGCAGCAGCTATAGAGGAGACTGGAGAAGGCAGGCAGCAGGATGGTGAACAAGACCAACTGAAGGTGGCGCAGGGAACAGAGACGTGGAAAAGCTGCTCTTTGACTGGATTATTTACCGATGAAAGGATGGTAACTTCAGGTGCTTGATTTGGAAACTACATTCTTTGTCTTTTCTGTATTGCACACTAATTAAAGATTGCAGACCTTACGTGTTTTGTCTTGATGTTTATTTAGATATTTATATTTAGAGGGCACAGTTTTGGAGGATCTGGGTTGCCCCTCTCCCTGTCCTGTAACAGACTAAAATAAAACCAAAAATAATGTAATCTTAGGTGCATTTTTAACTGGCATTAGATGTTTAAGGTCTAAAGCACATCTTCCCCAATTTTAGTGTCTTAATATGCATTATTTGTGCAGAAATGTTAGTTTACTCACATATTAATTCTAAATGTTTACTATAGCTCTGAAATCACAGTTCCAATAAAGCTCTCCTGACTATAAGAGTGCAAGAGTATTAGAATAACATTAAAATTAAGTATAAATTAAGGAACTCTAAGAAGTTTAACAAAACTTACATCAAAATCCTTCCCTTGGGTCTTCCCTGGTGGTGCAACAGTTTAGAGGGCAGCACTATAAAGCTATCCACAGCCACTGCTTCAATCCCCAGCCAGAGAGGTGACCCACATGGCATGGCAGCCCTCTCCTGTCCGACCCGCTGCTCCCCTCAGCAGTGTATTTCAGTCAATATGCCTGTTCTGTGTCTCTGGGGAGTCCTCTCACCACGCTGCACCTCTCACCTGTACCCCAGTTCTTGTACGCATAAATAAATCTTTTTTAAAAAATCCCTCCCAAAAGTCACATCTACAGTTTGAGAAATAAGAGAAAGGAGTACACACATATATATTTTTTAATGTAAACCTCTGGTAAATTCCCTTTAATTGTTGATTATATTAGCTATTTTAAATTACAAAAACAACTTGGCAATGACCTTTTGTTGTGAGAAGTCATAATGGTAAAGAGATGCAAAATAAAAAGCATTAATGATCTCCCTGCTGCAGTCCCATCCCAGAGATGCCAATGTTCACACACCCAGTGTCTGTGAATACTTTCATACTTCGTCTCATATAAAGATCAGAGGGATATTTTCTTTTACTAAAATGAAATCAACATTAGATATATTTACTTCTGTAACTTGTAAAAACTACCAGTAAATCTGTCCCTCCAGGTCAACAGAGTAACAATATTTGAATAATATCTAGTATTTGTATGTCCCATGCTTTATTCAACAATTCCTCTATTTCTGTTAATAGATATTCAAGTATTTCCAGGGTGTTTCTATTTTTCTTTTTGTTTTTGCTTGTTTAGCTAGGGTTAAAGTGCTCAAACAATTAGATCTATACCTACATACTTATAGTAGCAAATCTTAAATTCATCTGCAGGGCATCTATTCCAAGACCTCCAGAGTAAGCTTGAAATCAGGAACAGTATTGAATCCTACATATGCTATGTTTTCTCCTATACATACATACCTATGACAAAGTTTATAAATTAGGCAGAAGAGAGATTTACAATAACCAAATAGTAAACAGAAAAATTACAACAATATACTGTAATAAAAGATACAAAAATATATATGTAATAAAAGAATGTGCTCTCACATTATCTTACTCCACATAATATTTTCAGACAGTGTTTGATTATGGGTAACTGAAACCACAGAAAGAAAAATCTCACATGACAAGGATTACTATATTTAGTTGAAGTTTGTTTTAATAGCAGACTGCAAGTTAGAATGCTGGGCCAAAGAACAAATGCCATAATACTATCACAGTTACTTAAGGGAAATCCATGTTGCCAGAAGTGCTATTTGAACATTCCTGTTTTCCTACATCTTCACCTGCATGGATTCCAGCCACGTGAAAATACACTTTCATGACTATTATCATTTACATTTCCCAAATCATCTTTCTCTTATGTTTATCAATGGGGCAAAGGAAACTAAAAGGAAAACTCCAAGAAGCAGAAAATAGGGCCCTCCCTGGTGGTGCAATGGATTGAAGAGCAGCACTATGAGGCTGTCTGCAGTTATTGCAGCACAGGTTGGATTACTGCCAGGGGGTGGCCCACAAGGCCTGCCTGCTGCTCCCCTCAGCTGTGTGTTGCAGTATATCTGTCTGTTCTGTTTCCTGTCTTTGGTGAGTCCTCTCACCTCCCCCCTTCCCTGCACCTGCCTGTACTGCAATTCTTGTATGCATGAATGGATAAATCTTTAAAAAAAAAAAAAAAAGTAAAAAGGAAGTAGAAAACAAGTCTGAATATCAGCATAGCTAGAAGTCAGCTAAGTGTGGATTAATAGCTCTCCCCAGGGTTAAAAGTTCAAGTGGTTCAAATCTAGGACTGAAAGTTACCCCTTGTGCTATTATAATCCAAGCTAATGCCATACCACATGACTCCTGAAAGTTCTTTGAGGCAGACAACCGAATTACAAAAACATCTTTGTTTTTCAAGGCCTCACTAATGCAGTTACCATTCTACTTAATGCCTACAGCAGCCAGTATAGTTCTAAGTCAGCAGTCCCAGTTCTGGCTAAATATTAGACACTCCCCAAAGCCAGGTCATATCCCAGGATACTGGGGGTAGTTCTCTGAGGGTAGTTCAGATGTTTTTCAATGCTCCTTGAGTGACTCTTACACAAAAATAGTGGCACCTAGGGATCTAACGAATCAATACTACTGACAAGTAAGAGGTTTACATAATGCTGCCACTTCCAAGTCTAGAATAAAGGTCCATTTGGAAGAGCATCATGTAAACATATCGGTCCATCTCTCCCATTCACAAAAACAAATGTGCCACTGAATAAGCTCTTAAAAGTTGGAATTTCTGTTCCTAAAAAGGGGATAAAGGGGAAAAAAACCTCCAATATCATGAAAAGATTAAGAATTTCCTAAGAAATACCAAATTAGAATTTTCTGCTAAAAAAGAACTTACAGATCTTATAAATCTGTCAGGCCCCTGTTGATGCCTTCACTAGTCAATGAAAAAAAAAGACAGCATAGTAATTTGCTCATAAAACAGACATACAGTGTTTTTTTCTCCTATAAATAGTGATAGTAAATAGTAGCGTTTTTCATTGTTTTAAATATATACTGTCTTTACCTGATAAGCAGTCAGGTAATACATAAGGTGACTTTTTGTTGGCCCACACAATTCTAGTATCTAGAAATAATCTAGCAACTCAACTTTTCCTTTTATCGAAACAGAAATTGAAACCCCATAGTTTATACACTCATATGTAGCCAACTGCAGAGTAGAAATTAGACTCTCAAAGGATTTTCCACCATAAATAGGTTTACATCTTTGACTCCCCTCTTGAAAAAGGAAATCAAACTAATTATTAGGCTGTTAAAAGAGCGTTTCAACTAACCTTCTGTCATGTGAAAAGCACCTATTTTTAAATGTGTTTTTCTAAAATAGAAATACACTAGTACTCTGTAGTACTGCTTCCCATTACTGGCGAAAGAGCAGTGAATATTGCTTGAGCTCTTCGAGGGCGTAGTAAAGGTCTAAAATCTAAATTCCACCTTAAACAGATTGAAAAGTCAGCATATAATGTTAGCTTTCAAAAATGATCAGGAAGTGCACAGAAGTATAATGTAAACGGAAGGTTAGGAGTTGGGTAAAGGTTGACGCTAGATGTTCAGGATACTTTTGTCTGTGCTTGAAATGGTCAGTACTAAAGGGGCTCTTTTTTAAAAAATTCATATCTACTTGTCTATCATTCTTCATT